ACTATGATTGGCAAAGGGGAGGGAGAGAAGGGGAGGGGGTAGGCGGTTAGGAAAGATGGTGGAATGAGATGGATATCATTACCCTAGGTACATGTGTGACTGCACATATGGTGTGACGCTACGTCGTGTCCAATTAGAGAAATAAAAAGTTGTGCTGCAATTGTGTACAATGAATCAAAATGCATTCTGCTGTCATATATACCTAATTAGAATAAATATTTTTTTAAAAAAGGGCTGGAGATGTGTGTCAGTGGTTAAGTGCTCCTGGGTTTAATTCCTGATACCAAAAGCAAACAAACAAACAGAAACAGGTGGGCTGGGAGCACAGCTCAGGGATGGAGCACCTGGCCACATGTGCAAGGCCCTGGGTTTGATCCCCAGCACCAAAAAGAAAAGGAAGGAGCCAGGGAAGAAGGATAGGTGTTTTTGTCTCTGGACTTGACCTTGCCTGTGTTGCCCCATTGCCCCAGTTTCAGGAGAGAAAGACATGCAACTCCTTTTCCCAGCATGAAAGGAAAAAGTTGCATGGTCTGGTGGCCATGTTCACAGACTTCAGTCAGAAAGCCTGGATTCAATCTCAGACCTGCAGCTTTAAAGCTGGGTGACCCTGGGCAAGTCTCCTTCCTCCCAGCATCTGTATTCTCACTTGTAAAAGGCAGTAACAACGCGATTACTCCCAGAAAGTGTATTAGATTGAGACAGTGTGGGTAGAGCTCTTGGCACAGCGCCTGGCACATAGTAAGTGATCACTAAATGGTGGGGTATGCAAAGGTACCTGTGGTGAGGATGACACTGGCAATACTGGAACATCAGGTGAGAGCTCAGGTCCACAGAAAGGGACTGTACAGTGGTCACCTCAGTTAGCTTCCTAACAGGAAAAAGGCAGCACTGGAATCTGGAGATTTGGAGGAGGGTTAATAAGAACTATTTGCAAAGTTGAGGGTGAGGTTTATGTAGAACAAGAGAACCCTTCAGCCTGAAGGGGTAAGAGAAGAAAACATGACTACAGCCCGGAGGAGCAGTTTTCTTGGGAGAGCATCCTGTCAGGCAGGGTGGCCTTTGGCAGAGGGACACTGCCAAGCCACAGATGGGAGGGAGCTTCCGCTGACACCTCCCATAAACCTACCCAACCACAGCCCATTGAGGTACTGGCTCTGGCTCAGCCTGCTGGGGCCCAGAGCAGGGTGGAGGAAAAACAGAAAGGGTATGAATGAGAGGTCCCAGCACTGTAGGTGACAATAGGAAGGGAGACTCAGACTGTGCCAACAACGATCGATGATCACCTGCTCAAAAATCAGAACTCTTGGTAGGGGAAGCAGACTATCCTGTCCTTGCATTCTTTTGGTGTGGGAAGAATAAATGAGCCAAATGCCCATCTTTCAGTTGACCTCGGGAGCCCAGTTGAAGCACAAGGAAAAGCCAGCCCCAAACCTCTCTGCAGAAACTTCTGAGCCTCCATTTCACTGCTGCTGTGAGCAGCCCCTGCAGGTCCTGGCCAGGCAGGCTGTGGACCCACTGCTGAAGTCGTAGGAGGGGACCTTACAGAAGTGCCCATGCTTTAGTTAACAAGTGAGCACCTGTTGTATGTACTTCCGGGGCCTGGGGAAGTAGCTAAGGGGAAGTAGTGGCTGGACATAGAGACCCTCTGAGGGAATTGCCTCGGTTGACAACTGTCAAAACAAAAACTGAGGAAGGGGTAGGGACTTGCAGAGCTCCCATGCTCCTGCCTTGTGACTATTAAATATCAGGAGTGATATCATGGCATATTAAGGGCTGTCACAAAGCAGCACTGGTGCAGTCAGGGGTTGCTGTGGACAGAGGACTGCATTTGCTCAGAGCAGGAGATGAAGGGGTCAGGGAAGGCTCCTTGGATGAAGGGTCTTGAGGGAGACCCTACAGATAAATTGACTGGGGGAGAGGTTTCTGGTAGGGAGTTGCCTAGAGAAAGATATGGCCGTGGGAATGGCCCAGAAGCCAGGAGCACAGCAGGTTGGGATATCTGTGGTGGGTGTGAAGCCTTAAGCATTGGGTCGAGGCACACAGATGTCATCATCCCTGCAGACATTATTCACTCCTCAGGTTCATGTCTGCTGGGGAGAACCAAGTCCCAAGTCTGAACTTGGTTCTCTGAGAAAAGAGCAAGCTGTCTATGGAGTACTTGACTGTCAGTGTCAAGTGCTTTACTGGGAGTCTCACTCGGCCCTTGGCCTCACTGTGTGAGAGAGGGAACTAAAGTCCAGAGAGGTCTGTGTTTTGTCCACAGTCACACCGATATGAAAATCATTTGCTACAAAATCACACTGCCTGTTTCCCACCTCAGACAACTAAGCTGTCAGTGAAAGGGGGAAAGGAATGGGGAGTCCTAGGCACGGGGGCAGGACAGGACTGAGGGGAAGGGGAAGGCCAAGCTGGGGGTTCTGGGAGAGAGACATGCTTCACTGGGACTTGCTGCATGAGCAGTTAGGCCCAAAGGGCTGCCTCCTCAGAATCCAGGCCATGGAACATGGCAAGAGGAGCCACATCTATGACTATAGATCTCACATATCTACCAGACTCCTCTTGCTGCCCAGCAAGCCCAGAGCAAAGCCAGAAGAGGAAGCAAGAGCCCTCCTTCCCTCCAATCAGCCTCAGATTCAACCACAGGGCCTCACTCCTGCCTGAGTGGTGGGCTCCCTAATGGCTGTGTTTAACCCCTGGCCACCTAATGATGCGTGCTCTCTCTTGGGGACCGGGTGGGATGGGGGAGCAGGATTATCCATTAGCTGTAAGATTAATCATTACCTGCTTCATCTCACACTGGAATCACCCTGAGTCATCAAAGCTTGGGCCCTGGGCAGTGCAACAGACATTCCTCTGGACACTTGGGGAGCAGGGACATTTCCCTGAGCTAGGGGAGGTGGAGCTCCCCTGACTGGGAAAGGCAAGAGAAAGGCAGGTAGCTGGGGTTCAGGCAGTCCTTAAGGCCTTCTCACTGGCCAGTGGGAGCAGAGCTGAGGAGGTTGGACAGGCACAGCAGCCAGTGTCCCAAGGCTCCTGGGTCCAGGGAGATGGACAATCATTGAAAGACAGTGACAGGGCCCTCCTGCTGGTGGCTGCTGGGTGTGCAGGGCCTACTGGTGCTCTGGAGCGAAAGGCCTAAGTCCAGCACCCACTTGTATTTTGTTCCTCCCAGGAAAGAATAGCACAGGGCTAGGGCTCCAGTGGCAGAAGCTCAGAAGCTAGGTAGGGCAGCTGGGAAAGAGCCCAGAGCTTTGGGTGCTGAAGTGGCATAGCCACCCCATTCAGGTGAGGGGAGGTCCCCCACCCTTGGCAGCCCAGAGAGGGAGAAAAACTAGGAGTAGGACTCCTGACTTCCATTGCCAACCATCTGGGTGACCTTGGCTGGTCCTTTCTAGTGCTAATCAAAGTCCAGGCCTCGGGTTTTTTGTCTCTACACTGGAGAGAAGCACCTCCTTCCTGCCTCTCTCTCTGGATGGGGGATAGAAGAGGAAGCCCCTGCCTTCTCACTGCCAGGCCGGTCCTGTTCTTGAGCCCCAAACAAAGGAAGATGGGAAGGCCTCCAACATGGAACCCCAAACAGCTGGCAGAACACTAAGACAGGCCAAGAGGTCTCCCAAACAACTCGAAACCCCACCCAGCACCCCAAATCATCCTTCAAGGCAGAGTTTTCATCTCCCCTCTGCGTGAAGCAGCCTCCCCTCATCTATACTAGTCACTCATTTTTTTTTTTTTAGGTCTGTAGAACAGTAGAATCCATTTTGATATAATTATACAAGGATGGAATATAACTTATTCTAATTAGGACCTCATTCTTGTGGATGTACATGATGATGGGATTCAACTTGTCACTCTTTATTCTGCCATTTTGTCCTTCCAAAAGCATGTGGAAACCAGGTGTGATGGCACATTGCTGTAATCCCAGCAACTTGCAAAACTGAGGCGGGAGGATCATAAGTTCAGGATCAATCTCAGCAACTTGGTGAGACCTTCAGCAATTTAGTAAGAACCTGACTCGGGAAAAAAAAAAGTAGGGTTTTGGGGATATAGCTTGGTGGTAGAATACCTGTGGGTCCAATCTCCAGTACAAAAAATAAAAGCATGTAGAACCGACATGCAATCAGGGCTTAATAAAAAGGCTCGTTGTCTTTGTAATGATTTTTGTGTGGCTCTCAGTTTGATTCACCATAATCATAGTTACATATTTCAGTACCATTGTTGGTTCATACATGGCCCTCTTTGTTTAATTACAATTTATTTTTAATAATACAGTAGTTCCCCCATCTGTTATCCATGGGGATATGTTCCAAGAGCCTCAGTGGATGCCTGAAACTATGGATTGTACCAAACCCTATATATACAGTGTTTTTTTTCCTATACGTACATGTTTATGATAAAATTGAATTTATAAATTAGGCCTAGTAAGAGATAAAAACAATAATAACATGATAGAACAATTATAACAATATACTACATTAAAATTTATTTAAAATTCATGAATTGTTTCCTAGAATTTTTCTTTTGGTCTTTTCAGACTGTGGTTGGTTACATTTAACTGAAACTATGGAAAGAGAAACTGTGGGAAGGTGAGACCACTGTACCCCTGACCGCTCAGTCTAAAAAACATGATGTTACCAAGAACATATCTATTTACGAACCTTTCCCCATTCTCTTCTCTCTTCCCACCTGTCCTCCAAAATAAACCATCCTCTTGAATTTTGTTTATTATTATTAAACAAAAGGAAGATTATAGGTTCCCAAAGAGGCAGATTCTTTGACTGAAGTAGCCATTTTACCAAGTTGCAACTCCCTTTGGGGCAGGGCCTGGCTCCCCTTTGCTGTAGTGTGTGGTTCTCTGGGGTCCCAAGAGCAGGAAGGTGACAACTAGATGCCAGGAAGCAGAAAAGACAGCTCCAAAAAGACAAGATCCCACCCCACTGTACCTGAAAAGGGGCCTATGTGACTTTGGCCCTGCCCTGTGATGTCATACAGTGTTGCCCTGGTGACCCAACTGGGTCTGGGCAGAGAGAGTGCCATCCCTCTCTTCACCTTCCTGGGGGTGCTAAGAGTCAATTGCCCGGGCCCCTGACCAACTGGCCATGGCCCTGATCCCCCAAGGCTCCTCTACCCACAGAACCTCTTGGTACTGAGAAAGATCCAGACCCCGGCCCCACTGCCCAACCACCCGAATTCCCCAGTCTAAGTCTCAGAGCTGGTAGATAGCAGCCCAGAGACAGCACTGACACCCCATACTCTTCACCACCCCCAAAGACTCTTAAGGCACCCAGGCCAGCTGTCTGGGCAGGACTGTTCATCCCAGATACCAAATCTCAAGATCGCTAAACAGACAAACACTCCTATCCTGAGAAGATGGTACGGAAAAAGTCAAAGGTGAGAACTGGGGGCAGAGGCCATGTACCTACCTGCATGAACTCATCCCTCCTTCAAATTCCTTTGTTTTGTTCATTTCCCTTCTCTGGGCCTCAGTTCTCACAACTGTGAAATGGGTGGGTAAGGCAGTCCCCACAGCTCTTCCAAGCTGGACATCCTATACTCTTAGGCCCTGTGGATGTTGCAATGCAGTGTGCTCACAGCTGTTATGGAGTCAGACTGCACTTACCTGCTTGCTTCTGTCCTCTTGTTGCTGAGGCCACACAGGCTCAAGGAGCCCACCAAGATGGCCCATTGTCTCTTCAAGATCCCTGGCAGCACCAATGCCCTGCGGCTTCCACAACCCATCTTGCCCCTGCCCAGCCCTCCCTCCTGAGGCCCAGGCCCCCTGCAGGGCATGGCAGCTTGAACCCCTGAGAGAAGGGATTTGGGGTCTGTTTTGATTACTACTGTACCCACCAAGCACTCAGAACAGTGTCTGACACATAGTAGGCATTCAGTAAAGAGCTATGGCAAAGCAGCAGGGCCCTGCCAGGAGGGGACTAGAATCTCAGTGCGATGAATTCCAACAGCTCAGTGTAAGCCACCCTCCCCTTTAAAACCCCTGGATTGTCACACTCTGAGGACCAGGCACAAGGCTGGTCTGACTAGGAGCCCTAAGTAGACAGCTGGATTCCACCTGCCTTACTGAGTTGGAATGACCCAGGGAGTTTGGGATCCCTGAGTGGGAGCCAGATGTTGTATTTGATTGGTAGCTTTCAGAAACATTTTATTTTTTAAAATCAATTTTTTAGTACCAGAGATTGAACCCAGGAGCACTTGCCCACTGGGCCACATCCCTAGCCCTCTTTTTATGTTTTATTTTGAGATAAAGTCTCACTAAGTTGCTTAGGGTCTCACTAAATTGTTGAGGTTGGCTTTGAACTCAAGATCCTCCTGCCTCAGCTTCCCAAGATGCTGGGATTATAGGCATGCACCACCATATTCAGCTCAGAAAAACTTTAATAGCTGGGTAGAATCCTCCACAAGGATGTTCATAATGTATATAAAGCATTATATATTCATATTTCTTCTTTTGTGAATCCCCAGATCAGATCTTCTATTGTGATGATATTTATAGATTTCAGTGCTTTGTGTGTTAGATATTTTAATCCTTTTTATTTATTGCAACTTTCCCTTTTGTCTTTTTTAGGGGGGGGCATTGTGGTAAATTTGGGGCCATTATAAAAAAATTGGTATACTGGGCTGGGGATGTGGCTCAAGTGGTAGCGCGCTCGCCTGGCATGCGCGGGGCGCTGGGTTTGATCCTCAGCACCACATAAAAAAAAAAAAATAAAGATGTTGTGTCCACCGAAAAACTAAAAAATAAATATTAAAAAAAATTGGTATGGATTTTAAAAAACATAATCAAACTTAATTCTTTATGATTTTTGACTTTCGTGTCATCTTCTTTTCTCCCCTGCTTGGAGCTAGGGATGGAACCCAGGGCCTCACACGTGCTCTGCCACTGAGCTGTACCACCAGCTCTGCGTCATTTTTTTTGAAAGGCTTTCTTGCCCCAGATGTCACAACCTCTCCCTACTGTCAATGAGTACTCAGGTTACAGGGGTTACAGTCCAGAGAATGAGCCCCACATTCAAAGCAACGTGGTTTGGGCAGAGCAGAGGCCTCCGATCATGCGGACACACAGACCCTGGCTCCAGTTCCAGCTCTGCCCCCACTGGTGCCTTGGTGAAGGGGTTTCACTCCCCAAGTAGGTTTTATTGCTCTAACAGGATCTTCCTCCTGCTGGCCATGGTAACACCAGGCAAGTTTAGATGCTGAAACAGAAAGAGCACAAATTTAATTCAAAGGTTTTAATTCAAAGGCCCATTGAAGTCTAGTAACTTGCCCAAATGACAGATGAGGGCAGCCAGACCCTCCCAGCCCAGGGCCCCCTCTGAGGACCCAGCAGAGCTTCTCCAGACACAGGAGCCTTCTGGAGGGGGAACCTGGGTTTCTGAGCTTCTAGTGACTTCCCAGATTCCTGGGAGGAGGGATGGCAGGGAGGAGGGAATGGGGATGGGGAGTAGATCTCCTTCCTTCCCTCTCTCCTCCAGAACCAATTTAAGCTACCCACTCCTGGGAACTGAATTAAATGGGCCATTAACTCCTTCTCTGCTGGTCCTGTCCTCCTCCTCTCATCCCTCCCACTCCCCATCATACACATTCCAAACTGCCCTGAGTGATAGGCAGTCGCAGGTCTCCTAGGACAGCTGCTGGATAATCCTGGCTTATTAAGGACAAGTCTGCCTGTGTGGACTGCCAAGGCACGGATCAAGTGGCTTCCGAGCCTGCCATGGATGAGCCCCATGGAGTAGTTGGGAGTCCACAGGCTTCCATACCGGGTACCCGCTTGCCATCTATAGGCTGTGTGACCTTGGAGGGAACGAAGGCAAACCCCTGCCTGGAAAAGTGGCCTTCTGATTTCTGCTTCTAGCAGTGTTGAGTGGGTGAGCTGAGGGTGAGCCTGAGAAGCAAAGAGGGAGCACCCAGCTTTGCTCCTAAGCTGCAGGAGACAATCAGAGGAAATGAATTCCCTCCCAGGGGTCATCTCACTCCACAAATAGATCTGTGTGGTCTGAGACTTAGGGAGGTTCACCATCAACCTCATCACTCCCCAATATGTGTCCCAGCACCTGAATTTTTTTTTTTTTTTTTGGTACTGGGGATTGAACCCAGAGGCACTCTACCACCAAGCTACACTCCCAAGCTCTTTTATTTTATTTTGAAATAGTGTCTCGCTAAGTTACTGGGATGGGCCTCAAACTTGTGATCCTCCTGCCTCAGCCTCCCAAGTATCTGAGAGTATGGGCATCCTTCAGTGCTGGTCAGAAATGGGGGAAATGCAGGGGACATTGATTCTAACACAGAGACATCTCTGAGGGAAGGAAATCTGCAGATTCCTATCCAGAGGTGGGAAGAAAAGAGGAGAAATCAGAAGGTTGAGGCCCTGGCCATTCCCACTGGAGTCCTCACCTTGGCCCCAGGCCTCCCTGGCCCTGGGCCTAGCCTGACAATGGGCACATGCCCACAGGACTCACCAGGAGGCGCCAGCCTGGCAGCTGGCCTCATGCCCAGAAGTGAAGCATGAGCAGTGCCTGCCAAATCCTCTGCAGGCTGTATTTCCTGGAAGGCTGCTCCTGAAGGGGAGGCATGGAGCGGGTAGGGAAAGAGGCAACACAACTCCTGGGCCTGGTTAGAGGCCTACTTGGGCTCTGGGGCTGCCAGGGAGTCAGTGAGACATTGGACCACTGCTGTGCTTCTGGGCCTTCACTTCTGTGGCTCTAAGGAGCTTACAGCAGTCCCTGGCCCTCATAGCAACAAAGTTCAATGTAGGGGTGGGAGGGACATTAGGAGCCTCAGAAGGAAACTCAGGCACAGCAACCACTAGGAGAGTGGCATTCCAGACATTCCCCTGAGGCTCAGAGAACTGGAGGCAAAGCTGATTGGAAGCCAGCAGACCAAACCTCATGGGGATTAGGCTGGTTCTGATGGTGGTGACACGGTGACACTCAGTGAGAATGGAACACCGAGAAGCAAGCAGTCTGGCCTAGGAGGGGAGGCAGTGGTCTGTGGCTACTTCTCCTACAGCCACTCCATCTAGTGGGGGTTTCCTCCCCTTCCTCCCTGGCCTGGCAGGGGAATAGGGGGTGGTTACTCTCATCAACACCTCTGCAGATGCTGGCAGGTCCCCTTGCTGAGGGGAGGGTACCCTCCTCAGTCAGAGGAAGGGGAGGGGTCTCTGTAGAGTTGGCACTCCTGAGGCTGAATCAGGGAGAGGGCTTATTCTCACGCTCTAATGAGTTCTCTTGTTAGGCAAGGACACAGCCTACACCAAGAAGGCCAAAGGAAGCTCAGGAGCAAGGCACAGGGTTGACAGCCCTGGGTAAAATCCGGATAGAGTAGCCCAACCAGGACAAAGGCTGGCAGGCAGGAGGAAGTTTGGTGGATGTGAGAAACAGCTAGGAAGCCAGTGTGGCTGGAGAGAGTGAGTCAGGGGACCCAGGCATAAGACAAGGCCATTGCAAGGCTCTGAGATACAGGGCTCTAGGGCAGGATTATGAGCCAAGGAGTGGTTTAAATTCATAATGGCTCCCTCCGGCTGCAGTGTGAGATGGGAGGGAATGGGGGGAGGGCCAGAAGGGAAAGAGCAACTAGGAGCCAGAGCAGACATCTGGGTGTCTTGGGAACCAGTGCTCCACAGGGAGATGGTGGGAAGGGTTGGGAAGGGGCAATTCTAGGGATGGATTAAGGTAGGGCTGACAGGATGTGCTGGCAGACTGGGTGAGGGATGTGAGAGGAGGAGAGGAACCAAGGAGGACTCCAAGCTGTGGGGCTTGAGCAACTCCAAGAATGGAGCCCCCATTACCTGTGTCAGGGCAAAAACCAAATGAAGTCACATCACTAAAACTCCTCAGGGTTGACCAGAGCCTCAAGCCTGGGTTCTTCCTTTTCCCTGTGCCTGAGAATAGCAATATGCCCAGGATCCCCAGCCCAAGGTGGCAGCAGGTCTGCTCCCCGACAGACTAGTTTGCTCTCTCAGCGTCCTGGTGGGGAGCTCCACTCTCAGAACGCAGCTGCCCTGCATCCCACAGCGGAAAGCCTCAAAATGAGGCAAACCCAGCAGCCGCAGCAGCACTCACCAGGAGCCACCACAGTAAGCAGGTCCTCCCTCTTCTCTGGGCCTCAGTCTCCCTCAGTCTAATAGGACATTGTCCTCCACCCCCACCAGGGCCTGCCCTAGAAGGCAGGATCGGACAGGCTGAGCTTTCCAGGTAAGAGGTCAGCCTCTCAGGGCTCCACCTCCAACCTGAAGAGCTCCATGGCTCCTCTCCCAGGGCCATGAAGGTCCCTCCATATGGCTATGGATCAGCAGAAGGGACTAAGGGAATGGGTGGCCTCCTGCCAGGTGAAGCCTAGCCAGGGTTAAACCAGGTCTATTGGGTCAACTCCAGGTACTGGAAATGGAGGTCAGGCGACCAGCCAGTGCAGAGGGAGGATCAGGATATCCCCAAACCACAGGAGCCTCAAGTCCCCTTTCTTCTCCACCATGCGGTGTTCATTCACCATGGACAACCCCAGCTCTGCCACCTTCCCTACCTTCCCACTGCTCTGTGGTCAAGCAGCCTCCTCTGGCCTCAGAAACCTCCCTCCCCTTCCCACTTCACTGCCCCACCCCAGGCTGCAGCCTTCTGTCTTCTGACTCAAAATGACTTCACCTCTCGTGTCCCCCCCCCCAAGGCCTCTGTCCCACTGCCTTTCCTGACTGCCCCAGTTGCCACTGTTGACCTACCTCCTCAGCAACTTTCATCACTGTGCTCCTCTGGGTCATGAATTCCTGCTATCCAGCCACTGAGCCCCTGCACCTGTCTACTTGGGGCACCTGTCCTAGGAGGCCTGGGTGTTACATGGGCAGTGCCTCTCCTCCCTCTCCAAGTGCAGGGTTCCTGGGGAGAAGTACATCCATTATCTCCACTAAAGCCATGATGACTTCACTGATGGGGATAAGCTTTGTAAACTGCAAAGTGCTGTGCACAGAAGGGACCTGAAGTGACAGGTGGCTGAGGTGAAGTTATAGAAAAGACTGGCCAATCTCTAGGACCTGGAGAGCAGGTGGGGTTGAGGAACTATAAGCAAAGAAAGATAGCTGCCAAAGCAGAGGCTCAGAGGTAGGACTGGGTATGAGAAGTGAGGTAGCCTGTCTTCTGCTGCAGGAAGGGACAATCCAAGACTGGGGAAGAGGCAAGAGAGGCGTTGAAGGGCATGTGGAATATGTGACAGAGGAAGGGAGAAAACGGTTTCAAGGACAACTGCCTTGTGCTTCTGGTCTAGGGAAAATGATAGGAAGAAGGCCTCCAAAGGAGGCTAGAGGTTTAGGGGGGCCGTAAAGGGAGATGCCACATCAGAAGAGGCCACTCAGCCCTGACTCTCTCCCCACAGGTCACTGAGGGCCCAGAGGACCCCCTGAACACCTCCCAGAGCACGAAACCTGACAACAGCCACCTGTCTCCCTCTAATATGGAGACCATCATGGTCACTCTCCATGGTGCTACCAACCTTCCCTCCTGCGAGGATGGCTCTGAACCATATCCCTATGTGGTAGTGTAAGTAGCCGGGTGAGGTGGGGCAGGGGTGGTGCTGCGCTGTGAGCAGAAATTATGGGAAGGATATATGGATAATAAGCACCAGAGGGTTCAGGACTGGGGCAGTGATACCCAAGAAGAAGTTGCACAGGGGCTCTGGGTTCTGCAAAATAAAGGCATGGTGTGCTTCCTTGCAACTGCATACAAGGCTGGGAAGGAAGGATGCCAGCCCAGAGGACCACCTCTTGATTCCACAACCAGTCAGGCCAGGCTTGGCCAAAGCTCCACCTCAGGCAGGCAGGCCCCTTATTATGTTGAGGCCTAGGCTGAGCTCAGTTGTGGTGCTGGTCAGAGAAAAGACTTAGGGTCTGCCTCTCCTGGCCTCTGGATGCCCAATCCCACCATGCCCTAGACATTGTGGTCCTCACAACCAACCTCCCCCTTGGCTCCTACCTCTCTCCAGCCATGTCTGTCATGGGGCTACTTCTGCTTCTTCTTCTTTTTTGGTATTGGGGATTAAACCTAGGGGCACTTAATTACTGAGCCACATCCTCAGCCCTTTATTATATTTTATTTTTTAAATTCAGAGACAGAGCCTCGCTAAATTGCTTAGGGCCTTGCTCAGTTGCTGATGCTGGCTTTGAACTCTCAGTCCTCCTGTCTCGGCCTCCTAAGCTGTTGGGACTACAGGCATGTGCCACCATTCTTGGCTATCATGGGGCTTCTAATCCTTTAGTGCACCCCATAGCCCCAGCCAGCAGTTGAAGGTACACACTTCTCCCACCTGGTTTCTGAATCCCAGTATACCATATCTGCTACCCACCTCTCCTAGAAAGTCATCAAGCAACAGCACAGTGTCCAGTAGCCAGCTTTCCCTGTGGAGGCTGGACATTTGCTCGGTCTTTATCTCAGAGCATGATGCATTAACCTCTCCAAGGGTCTTGTCTTTCCTTGACCCTTTCTGTAGACACTGAGCAGCCATGGCCTCCCACCGAGATGGCATCATTGAATTCCTGCCTACAGGCTTTTGCCTGCATTTCCTTGTGGGGAGTTGTGAGGAACTTACACAATTCAAAAAGAAAAAAAAAAAAAAAAAAAACAGCCTGATTTAAAAATGGCCAAAAAAACCTGAATAGACATTTTTCCAAAGAAGACCTTCAAAATGGCCAAGAAGCATGTGAAGAGGTTCTCAGCATCACTAATCATCAGGGAAACACAAATCAAAACCACCCATTCCTACTGAAATCTCACCTTCAATGCCTTGACCAAGATGCCTCCTCCAGGCAGCCACCAGAGTTGAGCTCTTGATCCTCTGGAGCCCCGCAGTAGTAACAACACTGGTCTGAAATACTTTATATAAATATGGTTTATGTGCTTCTCTTTTATCCCCCTAACTGAGGCTCCCTGAGGGTCCCAAGTTTCATTCTCCATTTCTGCAACAATGCACCCAACACAGGACTGAGCACAGACTGCTGGCTGGGGCTATGGGGTGCACTAAAGGATTAAAAGCCCCATGATAGCTTGTTATACCCACACCTGAGTATAACAAGCAGCCCCGCCTCCCACACACAGGGAAAGGGGGAGAGGTGCCATGCTGGAGACCAACAGGTGAAAAGCTGGTCTTGCTTGCCTCCAAAACCCATTTGCGCCAGCCCAGCTCCTCGGGCCTCCCTTCCCCCACCTCCATTTCCGTGGTGAGGGAAGGACAGGTGGCCGAGAGCGGGCTTGGCGGGGAGGCTGGTTTCTAGCAGAGAGCTCGCCTTCTCCTCTCAGCTATTTCCATAAACCAATTATCGCCGATCATCTCGGGAGATTGAGGCCGTGCCTGTCACCAATCTAGCCTGGGCGGCAGAGGGGCGGGTAGCTGGGTGGCCGCGTTGCTCCTCAGCAGGCACCGCAACCCCGCTCCATCACCCCGTTGCCATGGGAACGAGCGGGGGCGGGAGCCTAGGCGACTTGAGCCTGGGTGGGGGTGTGGAGAACTGGGCACACCTCGTCCGCCTGCGCCCTCCCAGTGGCAGCGGATTGTGGGAAGGAAAGGGGGAGGGGAGAGCCATCGCTACACCCCTCTCCACGCTGGGAACAGGGCCTGGGCCCGGACGCAGCCGCTCCCAAAGCTCCAGGCAGAGCTGCCACCAGCTCCAAGTGGTGCTAATGAGATGCAAATGAAAGGAGAAGGGAGGGCTTCTGAGAACAAGGCCCAGCTGTCAGGACCTGGAGGTGGCTTTCAGTGCTAGCCTCCAGGGGAAGGCAAGAACCCCAGAGGGAGAGCCTGAACCTTTAGAGTCCCTAGACCTTGGAAAGAATTGGATGTCCTCCTGTGTCTAATCACAATACACATTAACAAAGCCTACGATAGGCATAAGAAAGCCCCCCAGGTTCCATTTTTTCTTATGTGTATTTCAATGCTTTAAAGAAAAACTTATAAATACTTAAATGTAAAATCTAAACTGTAAAACTTCTGGAGGAAAATAGGAGAGAAGCTTTTTACACAAGTCTTGGTGATTTTTCTTTTTTTTAATTTGACACCAAAGTACAAGCAATTAAAGCAAAACTAAGCAGGACTACAATAAACTAAAAAGCTCTGCACAACAAAGGAAGCAATCAACAAAATGAAACAACCTATGGAATGGGAGAAAATATTTGCAAGCCATATGTCTAATAAGGAATTATATCCACAATATATAAGGAACTTATACAACTCAATAGTAGAAAAACAGCCTGATTTAAAAATGGCCAAAAGAACCTGAATAGACATTTTTCCAAAGAAGACCTACAAAATGGCTAAGAAGCATGTGAAAATGTTCTCAGCATCACGAGTGATCAGGGAAACACAAATCAAAACCACAAGGAGACAGAGTGGGGTCATCAAGAAGTAACAAGTGCCGGTGAAAATTGACGGAGGCGTGGGGGCGGGGATCCTCATACATTGGGCAACCATTATGGAAAACAGTATGGGGATTCCTCAAAAAATTAAAATAAAATTACTATAGGATCCATCAATCCCATTTCCGGATATGTATCCAAAGAGATACCCGCACTCCCATGTTTATTATCACTATTCACAATAGCCAAGATATGGTGTCTACCTAAGTGTCCATCCATTGGTGAATGGATAAAGAACCTGTGAGATACATTCAGTCATAAAAAGAAGGAAATTCTGCCACTTGTAAGGACATGGTTGAACTTGGAAGACAGGCATTATGTTAAGTGGAATAAACCAACCACAAAAAAAGACATACTGTATGATCTCACTTAATGTGAAATCTCAGGTGAATCTACAAAAGCAGAGAGTGTAATAGTAATTGCTAGGGGCTGAAGATGGAGTCAAAGAGTACAAACTTCCCACTGTAAGATGGATAAGTTTTAGGAATGTAACGTGCAGCATGATCACTATAGTTAGCAACACTATTATGTCCTTGAAATTTGATAAATCTTAAGTGTTCTCACAATGCAGACATAAAAAGGGTAACTATGAAGTGATGGATGCGTTATCAACTTGATTGTGTAGTATTCATTTTCAGTAAATATGTATATCAAATCAGCATGGTGTAAATTTTAGATAAAATTTTTATATGCCAATCATACCTCAAAAAATCTGGGGAATATGCCTATATACATAAACTTTCACATTCTTTCTAAACATTTTTCTCATCATTATTGTCCTGTTTTCTGGTGCCCTAAGTTTAGTTTCCTGGCTCGGTTTCCTGCTGTATACCATCCCATATTGTCCCTCCTCAGGGAGGACAGACTGGGGGTCCTGTCTCAGGCTCCTTCCATTCTTTCTGGCTTTGTTTCTTCTCCAGCAGGCAGGCCCATAGTTGGGGTGCTGGGTGGAGAGAGACACACAGGCCTGAAAGGGCCCCAAAGCCATTCATTCATTTACTCCATGTGGCAAGCTGAAGAGTGTTTAGACTTGAGGATGGGGCCTTCTTTATTTGGGGCACAGTCACTTCACCCCTCTGCAGGACCTAGCCTGGAGCCAATCTAGATTTGCATCCTCCAGTCTTAGCTAGTCCAGCCTGGCAGGTCTACTTGGCTCATCTGTGGTTCTGCATCTCTTCACAGAAGCCATGTCTGCTTCCAATGTGACCCAGCTTCTGCACTGAAACTCCTTTCTCTAGAGTTCCTAGTGACCACCCTGCCTCACCAATGGTATCTCATCTTATGCAACCTCGCAGTGGCATTAGCCCCTGGTGACCACTATTTTTTCAGACCTTTTTTTTCTCTTGGTTTCTAAGACACTGCACTCTCCTATTTCCCACTATGACCAGACCTCTTTGTCTCTTCTACCTGGCACAAAATGTTGGCCAGTCTAAGGCTGCTTTCTGAGGCTGCTTTCTCTTTAGTCTCCTTCTCTATGAGATCTCATCCCCATCCCGTCCTCAGATAATGACTTAAAAAAAAAAATCTATCAACAGAGTGTGTCAGGTGTCAGTGTCTGTCTGTCTCTCCCTCTCTCTCTCTCTCTTTTTTTTTTCTGGTACCAAAGATTGAACCCAGGGGTGCTTATCCACTGAGTCATCCTCAGCCCTTTTTATGTTGTATTTTGAGACCTGGCCTTGCTAAGTTGCTGAGGCTGGTTTTGAACTCTCAATCCTCCTGCTTCAGCCTCCCAAGTTGCTGGCATTACAGGCGTGCACCACTGCGCCCAGCTCAGTGTCTAGGTTATCTCTTGAATTTGGCTGTTTCTCTCCACCAGCTCCAACTGGCAGTAAATGTTAATGAATGAATGAATCTGGCCCTGTTTCTAGATAGTTGTGTGGGTTTGGGAAAGTTACCCCACTTTTTGACGCCTAACAGAAGAAAGCCATAGGGCAGTGGAAACAAGCCAGATTGGAATCAGGATGCCAAGTCTGGCCCACTAACCCAACTTCCTGTGTGACCTTTGGCTAGTCCCTGTCCTCTCTGACCTCAGTCTGCCCATGCCCAGGATGTAAACTTCAGCCTCCATGCTGGTGCAGACTGGCTGGCCTGGGAAACCATCTCAGTTTGTTAGAGCCCCAGAGGGGTCACTTGAGATAGATGCCACATCCAGGCCCAGTCCCAGAATATCTCCTGGCTGATCTGGGTCTGGCTAGAGGCCCTGGTGCCTGACCAGTGTCCATCACCTGTCTCCCAGCTTGACACAGAAAGACTTGCCAATCAGAGCACCGTAGGGAAAATAGTGACACTGACAGGTGGGAGTGCCCCAGTGGGCAGGATGGCTATAGGGGAGGAACCAGCCAGGAAGCAGCCTGTGGATTCTAACCCCAGGCCAAAGGCTGGTGGAAGGGCTGCCAGTGTTGGCAGCTGCTGCTTTGGCTGCCCAGACCTAATGAGTGGTGACAGGAGCAGTGCTGAGAAGGGAGGGCACGGCTTCCTCTGTGCACATGGGCAGGCTCCGCTCAGTTGGGACTGAGGGTGGGCAGAGGACCCATCAGGGCCACATGCAAAAGAACTTGTGTTTTTATTGTACACCTGAGAGCCCTGACCTGGGCCCCACATTAAGTCTGTTCTAGTCACAGACTGAGCCCTGACCCTGGTGACTAATGGGCACCGAAAGGAGGACAATTGCTGGAGGTCTTGGTAAAAGACAGATGTTAAAGATGTAACTCCCATATACTGGCAAATATGCCAGGAGAGTATGATTCATATAACTAAACTGTCACCCAGTCCTGTAGACTAGGTATTTTATCCCCATTTTACCGGGAAGGCTCAGAGCATTTCCACAAATGAGCCAAGTTCACAGAGCTGGTGAATTCCTAAGTGAGGATCCAGAATTCTCAACTCCAGAAGTTTCTTTCCCCTGCATTCCCTGCCTCGTCATACAGCAGTTTCCTCTCTTGGAAGGAGACTGTTGGAATCAGGATCCTGACCCATGCTTCCGGAGAGAGACAGTGACCAGTCTGGAGACCCCTCCTGGACTCTGGGTTCTCCTTTCTCCTGGGCTGGCCATGGACTTTAAGAGCTCCAGAGGACAGGGATCTGGATGGAGAGGGCGGAGACCTGGCATGGTGACCTTTGTCTCAGCAGCCAGATGGTTGGGCTCAGCAAAACTAACAACAGGAATAAAGCAGCCCCTATTTGCAGATAATGTCCCACTGTAAGCTCACTGGGAACTCGGTTCTCTATACACTCTGGCTTTAACAGAGCTGCCCTAGAAGGCAGGCTCATAACCCCCATGTGATAGCCAAGAGGCTGAGGCCCAGGGGCATGAAGAGATTGGTCTGAGGTCCTGCGGCTGGACAGCAGAGTGGAGCAAAGAAAGACAACTGTTAAAATCTGACTACTCATCCTTTCCAAGCAGGATGCCCCTGGGGGAAAAGACAAGGTTAGGGAGCAGGCCTTGGGTGGAGCCTGGAAATCTATCCCCCCTGCTGGGCCCCAGCCCTGTGGCCTGTTTTCCTGCTCACACCTGCTCCATATTACTTTGGTCCCTTGAGGCTCAGAACCTCAGAATTTTTGTTCAATAAGAACTTTCCTGTATCTCAAAGCTATAAACACAGCTGGTGTCAGTGGTTAAAGGAGGCCTGGACTGAGACACCCCCACCCCCAACCAGACTGAAATTACAAGGATTCTTTCCAGATGTTCCCCATCACCCCCCTTCAGGGCCCCTGAGGTCTCCTCATGCCTGAAACATGAATTCAGACCTGAAAAGCATGAGCTCTCCCCCAGGGTGCTGGACTCCTGCAGAGCAGCCCAAAGGGCAGTGCGGACTGGGAGAAAGCCCATGGAAATGTCAGGTAGTAGGCAGGCCAGGGGGCCTTTCCGGTGTCCTTATCACATTACACTTGGGCTATCTCCTGCTTATTCCTGAGCACATGCAGAGCAGCTTTCCTGGCTCCTCCCTCCACAGACACCCTGAACAACCATGGGCTTGATCCCCCTGTAGGCTTTGTCTGGCCTCCTTCCGCCCTGCCCCACCCACCATGGGCTTCAGGGGCAGAGGCCAAGTGCTCTGGCACCTGGCAAAGAGTGAGGTGCCAGACTAGACAGGGGATGGGTTTCTGGGTTCCAGCTCAGCTTCTCCTGCCCTCTGTCCTCCCTGTTATGTCACCTTCCATCTCTCCACACACCCAGTAAGCGTCCATCAGGAGAAGCCACACCAGGCATGCCAAAGTCAGTGCCTTCAGGGCCCAATCAGTTACATAAACCCTGGAGTCAGCTGGTGCATGATAAAATAGAGAACAGAAGAGACTGGCAACCCAGCCTCTAGTCTCCTCCCACTAATTCCTGACTTGGAGGAATGGGGGCGTGGTTTGGTTTTTTGGTTTTTGGAGAGAAGCAAGAAATCCAAATTTCTGTGCAAAAAATTGGCCAGGTTTTTTTCATGCAGGCCAAACAGCTCTGGTCAGTTAGAATCTTTGCAATGGCTCCTCCTTGTTTTCCCCTCCTAAACCCTCAACCCATGTCAGACTCAACAGTCGCATCCAGATTCACTGACTAGTCTTCTCCAGGGCAGTGACTTCCGGTACTAAGTGCCTCTACTTGTAGGAGTAGACATCTCCCCCTTATCTTCACTTCTAGAATGGTCCCATGACCTGATTCCTCCCCCGTCTCTGGTCACTGTACTGTGGGATCCTTTTTGTCCTATGACTGTAAATGTCAATGTTCTGCCCAGCCTCAGCCTCTCCTGGGCATCTCTGTTTTCCCTGGGATCTCCCTCAGGTCAGATTCCCCAGCCATCCCCAGAACCCCTGTATCCAGCTCCAGTCTCTCTCCTCAGCTCCATGGACCCACTTGTCAATGTGCATGTCCACCTCAGACTCAGCCTTCCTAGTTGACTTCCTCACCCCTCTTCTAGGAGTCCACCAGATACGTGGAATTTTGAGACACAGAGCACTGTCGCCAGGGAGGTGCCGAGCTCAGGAGGTAGCGTCCTGGTCTGCAGTGGTGGAGCCAGGAGCCAGTACTCACAGCCTGGCCTGTGAGCCCTAGTGCTAACCCACCTCTCCAGCCTTCAGCCTGGATGGCCTGGAAATGTTCTGGGTTCTATGATATTTATCTTTGGGAAGGGCAGACCATAGCCTCCCTACTCCCTGCTTCCACACAAAGATGGGAACCAGGAAGGCCTTCGGCTGTTAGATGTGACCCTCTCTTCTCCTGTTTGTCATTGTTTGACTTCCTATCTGGGCCTGAAGAAAGTGCTGAGTGTGTGTTAGGGGTGTTTTGTGTGTGTTGGAAAAGTAGGGGCCTGAAACAGCCCAAGACTGTGGCTGGGGTTTCACAGAATGGTTCATGTGGCCATCAGAACCAGAACCAAGATCCAGCCACAGGGTTCTAGTCTGGGATAGAGAGACCAAGATCCAGGCTGAACTAAGGCTCTCAGGGCCCAGGCCCCATAGCATGGCTCTGCTTCCTCCCTCCTCCTTGGAGATATGCTGTTGTGATAGCCACTGGAATCTGAGCACCCCTTCTAGCCAAGAGCCTCCTTCAGGGTGGGGCTAAGGAGCTGCCACAGGTCCCAGCACAGGCCCAGAGACTGCCAGGCAGAGCCACAGAGGACAAGCTGTCCTGTCTCCCTGTGCTTTACCACAGTCCATCTCACTTCCTATTAAACACTCACTGGGCCCCATTGGGCCTAGGCCGGGATCTGGAAACTGAGCTCCTGTGGTGTCCAGACAGGTCCCTGCCTCTGAGGTGCTCACAGTCTAACAGTAGGTGCACAGATAACACTGTCCCTACTTACTAGTTTTTTGCCCATAATCTCCCTAGAGGGCAAGTGAGCAGGCTCTAGCCCCTAGCACTTAGGCATCATGGAGGCTGGTCTCTTTGGAGTGACAAAGGGACACCCAGACCTCAGAACTTGGGCTGAATATTATCCCAATTAGGCCAGGAATAACAATCAGAATGAACCTCCTTCAGAGGTTGGGAAGTTCATCTTCAAGTCTGGCCCAGGTTCCTCCTGCACAAAACTTCCTACACCAAAAAAGGGGTTGCTCAGAAGAGGATGTGCAGAGCAGCTGATGAGTTGAGAGAACCCTAAATCATGGAGAGATCCTAGGAGTTGTCTCACCCAGGCCTACACCTTGCCGAGGGCACTGTAATTCCATCTCCATAGAGTCGTGGTGTTGACCGACAGTGGTCCCTTCCCCCTCCACTAAGAAGATGGTCCCCAGTGTCCCTCACCAGCTATGCCACAGGGTAGGCCACAGTGTGGAGCTCCAAAGGCTGGCAATAGTGTAGACGGGGGACTCTTCTTGGTCCTGCACTGTTCCCAGCCTCAAACAGAAAAAATAAAATAGAATAAATCTGGAAAACTAGAAAATTCCCTTTCCAGGAAAGGGTTTAAGGTGTGACAATGTCCAACATAGGAGGCCTGAATCTAACTTTGTACCAGTCACTGTGCAAAGGAGCCTACAGTTCTTTTTTTGGGCCTTACTAGGAGACTATTCCTATCTTGCCCACCTTCCTGAGTGCCATGGGTAGGGACCAGGGCTGCTTGTTGCCCACGATG